GATCGTGGAGGAACCAGGTGCGAAACCCGTCTCACGTGCACCATACCGACTGAGTCTGACCTAGCTGACAGACATGAAAAAACAGATCGAGTATTTACTGGACAGACAACTGATCCGCCCATCCACCTCTCCCTACGGTGCACCGGTACTTTTCACCCCAAAACCAGACGGCAGTTTACGGATGTGCATTGACTACCGCGCACTGAACAAACAGACAGTTAAAAACAAATATCCCATACCGCGCTTAGACGACCTACTAGACCAACTGCGTGGTGCAACAGTCTTTTCGAAGCTGGACCTATGGTCGGGTTGCTAGTAGATCAAGAAGGTGGCCAACTTGTTCCACAAGACGGCGTTCCGTACGAGATACGGCTCCTACAAATACTTGGTGATGCCGTTTGGATTCCGCAACACACCAGCGACGTTCCAGGCGGAGATGAACCATATCCTACGGCCCCTGCTGGACGAGTGCGTAGTAGTGTACCTAGACGACATTCTCATCTACTCCAAAAGTATGGAGGAGCACGTGGAGCATCTGCGAAAGGTGTTCGAGATCCTGCGGGAGAACAAGTTCTACGTGAAGCTGTCGAAGAGCGACTTCGCCCTGAAGAAGGTGCAGTTTCTTGGGCACATGGTGAGTGCCGAGGGCGTACACGTGGACCCGCGGAAAATCGAAGCCGTTAAGAAGTGGAAAGTCTCAAAGAACATGAAGGAGTTGCAGAAGTTCCTCGGTTTCTCCAACTACTACAACAGGTTCGTGCCACAGTACGCTAAGATAGCAGCGCCACTGACCGACCTACTGAAAAGAGATACGCCCTTCAAAAGGGATGTAGAAGCTACAGACAGTACTGATCACAGCGCCAGTACTCATCCTACCGGACCCGGACAATGACTATGTAGTTGAGGCAGACGCTAGTGACCAGGCACTTGGAGCAGTACTGATGCAGGATTGCGTGAACGATTTACAGCCTATTGCCTACCTCAGTAAGAAGCTACTCGGAGCAGAACTAAACTACCCAATCCACGACAAGGAAGCCTTAGCCATAGTCGTAGCCTTCAAGGCGTGGAGGTGTTACCAAAAGGGAGCCAAGACCACAGTATACACTGACCACTGCAGCCTCGAATACCCAAAGTCGCAGCCGACGCTCTCTCGACGACAGGTGCGGTGGGTGGATTTCTTGGAGACCCACTTCCACTACGACATTGTCTACAAACCCGGGCTACACAACAAGGCTGACGCGTTGAGCCGCCCCGGTCATGTAGTGGGCTTCCAGCTCGACCGGATGAACCCTCTTCTCAAGGGTCTATTCCAACATGGGTACTCCGTGGACGCAGAGATAGCAACGGTAGAAAAACAAAAGCTGCTACAATGGGAGAAAGACTTAGCGGTAAGGAAGGGTTCAGGAAAGATTTGGGTACCAAATTACGCCCCGCTACGGCAGATCCTATTGGAGGAGTTTCACGATGTACCATACGCGGGACATTTCGGGAGCAACAAAACGTTAGCGAAAATAGCAAAGTATTACTACTGGCCCTGGATGGCAGCAGACGTGTAGGAGTTCGTCACTTCTTGCGACACGTGCCAGCAAATGAAGAGTAGCAAGCAGAGAAAAGCAGGGTTAATTCAACCTCTACTCGTACCGGAGCAACCATGGCAGGTCGTTAGCCTCGACTTCATCACGGGACTTCCTTCGACCTCACGGGGACATGATTCCATCCTCGTAGTGATCGATAAGTTCTCACTTCATATCGACCAACGCCACAGCTACAGCTGAAGCAACTGCTCGCCTCTTCTTTGACCGCATCATCACCATCCACGGCATTCTCGCTACACTCATCTCAGACAGAGATCCCAAATTCACTAGTAAGTTTTGGAAGGAGCTCATGGGACTGTTGGGGACTAAGCTTGCGATGTCTTCAGCATACCATCCCCAGACAGATGGATCGACAGAGTGACTCAAACAGGTGGTTGAACAGTTACTGCGCACAGCTTGCAAAGATGACATCAACCACTAGGACATACAGCTACTGACCTTAGAGTTTGCTTACAACAACGCCTCGCATGCGGCCACAGGAAAAACTCCTTTCTTCCTGTGTTACGGACGGGAACCACTCACACCACAGCAGCCAACCACACCAGCACACGTCCAAGCCGCACACGACTTCGTCACCACCATGCAGCAGCTCTAAGAGAAGATTCGGCGACGTCTCACCATGATGCAGAACTCCCAGAAGCAGTATGCCGATCGCCAACGACGAGATCACTCAGTAGCAGTCGGAGATGAGGTTCTTCTTGACATGCGCAACTTGAACATGTCTCACCTACCATCCAAACTCCGGCCTAGCTCCTATGGTCCTTTTCTCGTTGAGGCACACGTGACATCAGTTACATTCCGCTTGGGCTTACTATGTACATGGAAGCTTCACAATGCTTTCCATGTTCAGCTACTAAAGCCCTACAAGGACCCCAACCAACAGTTCCAGGGATGGCAGCTACCGCCACCTCCACCTGTACTCGTGCTGGATGAACCAGAGAACGAGATCGAGCACGTTCTCATTCATCGACGCCGCGGCGGCAAGACCCTCAAGTTCCTGATACGCTGGAAGGGATACGACCCCACTGAGGACAGTTGGGTACCAGAAGCTGATATGGGCAACGCACGCCATGCTCTCAAGGACTATCTTGTCAAGCAGGGTGTATCTCACGCCACCCAGCTTTGAGGGGGGGACGTGTGAGAGTACGACGGCTTATGCCAGCTATGCTTGCTTGCCTAGACTTTATTATGCTATTTCTAGCATAGGTTTATTTTATGCATGCATGAATTGCTTGATTTCCTAGGCTACATGCTTTCCTGTTTATTATAGTTATAGCACCGAGCTAGGTTGCGTACACCGAATTCTGGGCTTTTCGGTTGCCACCGAATTGCCTTCTACCGAATTTGGGAAGGCTCTGTTCGGGATGGTTCGCGACCCTCGGAACCTTCGCGTAACACCTGGTTACTGGGCCTTGTGTCGAGCCTATATTTTGCCTCGTGTTGTACCCAGGTGATTCATTCAATTCAAACCCACTTTTCTGAGCTCGATCCTCGATCCTCACAGAAGTGAAGAATGGCGCAGTGCTGGAGCTTCCAAGGGCGGATCTGGCCTTCATCCTGTACACTGACTGGAGCAGTGCGGGAATGGGCACGGTGCTGGCGCAGATGAAGGGTGAAGTGGAGAAGGTGGTGGCATTTGCGAGCCGAAGCTGTAATGCGGCAGAAGCTAACTACTCGTCATACGAGGGAGAGGGGTTGGCAGAGGTGTAGGCAGTGAAGCACTTCCGGGTATACTTGCACGGCAGGAAGTTCACGCTGGTCACAAAGCACCAGCCGCTGCTTTGGCTCATGCAGACGCTAGACCTGACAACGCGCAATGCGAGATGGGCTATGAAGCTCCAAGAGTACGAATCTAGATTAAGCATCGACCTGACAGAACCATGCAGGACGTGTATGGCCACTCGAGGAACCCGCTGGAGGTGCAGTCATCAGCATGCCTAATGGCGATGGTGAAGGAAGCAGATAGGGGAAGGGAGTGGGGGGGAGTGAGAGGGGGGCCCACAGACATCTGGGAGGATCAGGCCGCACTGGCCTAGATTCAGGGGGCAACCACAGAAGAAGGTGCGGTTACGGTAAGGGTGCGAGCGAGAGGTGGGCATTACCGCTGGTTCAAGGGGCAGGTGCCGCTGAGGACAGGGGAGGGAAGCATGTGCCCTCCCCGGGAGAGAGAGAGGGCATCATTCGAGAAGTGCACGAGAAGCTGGTGCAGACTGGTTGGTGGTGGGTGGGCATGCGTAAACAGATCAAGGAATGGGTATGGACGTGTGAGGCATGCTGCAAGAACAAGGCAGTGCTGGAGCGAGAGAGGGCGGGGTTGCAGCTTCTACCCATCATGAGTCTGGGATGAGGTGGTCGCTGGACATCGCGACCCGTATTAAATTGCTGACGATGCCACCCGTATTAATTTTGCAATGTCACTGTTGCGGGGACCGGCGTTGGAGTGGTGGAGGCGAACACTTCAGACAGAGGGGACTCCGGCAGGGCTGTCACGTGCGAACGACGGGACCTGGACAACTGTCACGCAAGGAGCAACTTCAATCTTCGGAGTGGCCACGATACGCACATGGACGGAGTGGGGCGCCGCGCTGCGGACCAGATTCGAGCATGTATCCGCCTCGGATTCTGCCCGCATGAAGCTGCGTACCTGGAAGCAGGTGGCGTCGGTCCAAGATTACACGGCAACATTCAGCAATCTGGCTGACCAGGTGGACGACATTAGCGATGCGGAGCGACTCGACCGTTACGTCGCGGGCCTCAAGTACGAAGTACAGTACGAGGTGCGACGGGCGAGGCCACGCGATTTCCTCGATGCCGTCCAGGTGGCCGAATCAACGAACGCGCTGATACAATGGGCGAAAATGAGTTCCCAGGAGGGCACTCAATTTCGTGGACCGCCGCGCCAGCCCACAATCAACGGTGTGGAGGCGCCTAGACGTGGACCTAACACGTGCTTCAACTGCCACCAACCGGGCCACTGGAGGAAGGACTGCCCGCAGCTGAAACAGGGAAACAGGAACGACGGAGAGGGGTCGGGAAAAGAGACGAGTCAGTAGCAGTCGGGCCACCTACTGACGAGACCCCGTCGCCCGGCAATCAACATCCACACCGAGTAGTGGTACCGATACGGGCTATCGACCGCAACTGGATGAATAAGGTGGATGAACACGTGGATCACCCTGTGCTGGTCGTGGGGAGGGTTAACGGGTATAAAATAAAATTATTCGTTGACGGTGGGGCGAGCCACAGTCTCGTCAACCTGGCAACGGCCAAAAAAATTGGGTCAGGCTGGACAGGTGTCTGCCCGAGATTGACGCGCGACTGGTGGACGGGACACCGCTGGCGATCAAGGACGAGGTCCGACAAATTCGGATGAAGTGTGGCGACGATTTCGGGTTTTCGATGCGAATGCTGGCGACAACACTGGACGGTTGCGATGTTCTGCTGGGACGGGATTGGCTACATCGATTCAATCCGACGATCGACTGGACGACGGGAGCGATCACGGTGCTGTGCAACAAGGGGCGCGTGACACTTGCGAAATGGGCGGAGCCGGAGCCGATGACAACACGTGTCAACGCAATCACGCTGAAGCGGGCGATAAAACGGGGAGCGCAAGGCTACGCCGTACAGCTGTACGAGGTGGTGGCGTCCGAGAAAATCGCCGACATTGACACGCTCTGCGCTGCTGTACCCGACGACGTGGCGAGCATAATTCGGAGGTATCCCGAAATTTTCGCGGATGACCTACCTGACGGGCTGCCACCTCAGCGTCCGGAGGACCACAGGATCGAGCTGGAGCCAGGCGCAAAACCAACTGTTCGGTCACAGTGGCGGCTCAGCCAACCGGAGCTCGACGAGTTGCGGAAACAGCTGGATTATCTGCTCTCGAAGGGTTTTATCCGGCCGAGCACGTCACCTTACGCCGCCCCGATACTGTTCACACCGAAGAAAGACGGAGGCCTGCGCATGTGTATCGACTATCGAGCGCTGAATCGGATCACCATCAAGTCGCGTTACCCGATTCCGCGAGCGGACGACCTGCTGGATCAGCTTCGCGGGGCTCGCTTCTTCTCGAAAATCGATTTGCGAGGTGGCTACCATCAGATTCGCGTGTTCGCCGACGATTGCCCGAAGACTGCGTTTCGCACCCGCTACGGCTGTTACGAATACACAGTGATGCCGTTCGGTCTGACAAACGCGCCCTCGACGTTCCAGCTCACCATGAATGGGGTGTTTCGGGACATGCTGGACAAAAAAGTGATAGTTTACCTGGACGACATCCTGGTGTACAGCAAGACTCGGGAGCAGCATTTACAGGATTTGGAGGAAGTGTTCCGGCGCTTGCAGCAGAACCGACTGATAACTAAGGCTCTAAGTGTGAGTTCTCACAGCCGGAGCTGGAGTTCCTGGGGCACGTGGTTTCAGGGGAGGGTATTAAAATTGACCCTCGTAAAGTAAAGGCTTTTTCGGAGTGGAAAGCGCCCACGAACATCACGGAGTTGCAGAGTTTCCTCGGTTTCGTCAACTACGTCCGCCGTTTTGTACCGAATATGGCGGGGGTGACCAGGCCGTTAACCGATCTTCTGCATAAGGGCGTGCAATTTTTGTGGGGGGAGAGAGAGCAGCTGGCCTTCGATGAGCTGAAGAAAATTTTGAGTTCACCCCCGGTACTTCGCCTGGCAGATCCATCTCGACCGTTCGAAGTCGTGACGGACGCCAGCGATTTCGCCGTCGGCGCTGTGCTACTACAGGACTTCGGCAACGGGCTGCAACCCATCGCGTACGAGTCAAGGAAAATGCAGCCGCCCGAGCGCAACTACCCTGTACACGACAAAGAAATGCTCGCCATCGTGCATGCATTTCGTACCTGGCGCTGTTACCTCACGGGAGCTGACGTCACCATCCGAACCGACCACAAGTCATTACAGTACATGCGCAGCCAACCACAGCTCAACCCGCGACAAATTCGGTGGCTCGACTACCTCGAGTCCAATTTCAGCTACACCATCACCTACAAGAAGGGCGCCAACAACATCGCCGACGCCCTGACCTTCCCATCGATGCAGACCGCAGCAGTACTAATCGCCCATTCTAACCAACCCGCTATTGGCAGGACTATTCAAGCACGGCTACAAGACCGACAGGTTTTTCAGGACCAATCAACATCAACGAGTCACCACAGCACATGGCAGCTATTACCTAAAAGTCGGTACCAACCGAGTTTGGGTACCTTCCTACCGACCCCTACGAGAATTGCTGACGCAGGAAGTACACGACTCCAATCTCTCCAGGCATTTCGGCGTCGACAAAACACTGAAGCTGCTGCAGCAGAATTACTACTGGCCCGAAATGGCGTCGGACGTGTAGCACTACGTGTCCGCCTGCCCGACCTGCCAAGCAATGAAGTCATCACGGCAATGTCCAGCTGGATTGCTGCAGCCACTCGAGCCACCCAAACGACCGTGGCAACATGTGACAATGGATTTTGTCACCGGGCTGCCAGCTGGCGCAAGTGGCAACGATTCGGTTCTCGTCGTCGTCGACCGCTTAACGAAAATGGCGCATTTCGCACCATGCCGCACGACGATCACAGCCGAAGAAACAGCGAAGCTTTTCAACGCGACCGTCGTACGCCTACACGGGTTACCTTCGGCGATCATCAGCGATCGAGACCCGAAATTCACGTCGAAGTTCTGGCAGGAGACGTGGGCACAGTACGGCACCCGCCTGCAGTTTTCGTCGTCATACCACCCGCAAACCGACGGACAAACAGAGAGGACAAATCAAACGATGGAGCAGTTGATCCGCACGAACTGCCCCGACATCACCAAGTGGGAAGATTCGCTTCCCATGCTCGAGTTTGCATATAACAACGTCCCCTCTGCAACGACCAATCAGTCGCCGTTCTACCTCAATTCTGGGATAGATCCAGTGGTACCCTCGTCCACGACTCCAGAAAATCCGGTACCAAGGTCGCAGCAGTTTGTTCAGGAACTACAAGCAGCACGTGACAAAGCCGCAGAATTTATCCGGAAGGCTAATACCGCTGCCAGCCGCTACGCCGACCGACATCGACGGAACTTACCCTTCCGTACTGGGAGATGGTCCTCTTGGACACGAAGAATCTTCGACTGCCCCAACCGGCAAATTGCGTCCCCGCTACGTGGGACCTTTCCGCATCATTCGGATGCTGACCCCGGTCACAGCGAAACTTCTCCTCCCGGACGACTGGAAAATACACGATGCTTTCCACGTCAGTTTGCTTCGCCACTACGTGGCTCCGCAGCCGTCCGACGTCGCTCGACCCACTCTGGCGCCAAGTGTCCGCCCTGTAGCAGATCCGACACTTCAACCCTGGAAGATTTTGAATCATCGCAGTCGTGCGACCCCCGCCGGACGACACGTCGATTTCCTCCTACGCTGGGTGGATCACACAAGCGAAGATGACACGTCGGTCCCAGCCGACTCACTACGAGGGCACTCAGTACTTCGGGATTATCTTTCCCGCCGACACGTGCCTGATATTGACCACCTTTCTTAAGGGGGGGGGTAGTGTAAGGAATTTTGCTAATTCCTTACTGAGGCTGTTCTTACGCGTACAATTCCAACTTTCGGAATTCAGGCTCGGTCCGACGACCTCGCCTTCCGAACGTCAACCGCGTCGCCTTCGGGTTTCCCAACCCCAAACCTGCACCCAACCTTCGCGCGACTCCGCGACCTCGGCCTAGCTAGCTTTGCTATATTGTGCCTAGGCCTCGTTGTTTGATCAGTAGTTGTAATCACTTCCGCGATATTGCATTCTGCGCACTCTTCATTCGTACAACTCATAACAATCTCTCTCCCTTGTTCAGCGAGTGAACTAGCTGTAATAGGGTTACCAATACTTCAAATTTCAAAACTTTTGAACCTCCCTCTTTCAAATGTATACAAAAGCTTTAACAAAGTTCCTGTCATGAAGAGATGTCAAACCCCGAAGCCGGACGAGATCTTCGACAAACTAGCGGAGGCAATGGTGTTTTCAACACTGGATCTGCGGCAAGGGTTCAACTAGATCCCTATCGCCGAAGCGGATAAGAAGAAGACGGCCTTTCATGGGCCGGATGGGCAATACGAGTGGCACACGTTGCCATTCGGCCTGAAGTTAGCCTCGCCAGAGTTTCAGCAGGTCATGGATCAGGTGTTGCATAACGTGAAAAACGCCGCTACATCAATAATGTAATTGTATTCAGCACCGACAGCCGCGCGCACGTGAAAGACGTGGAGGAAGAACCGGCGGCCATTCAGAGCGCGGGGCTAACGTGCCACATAGGGAAGTGCAAGTTTGGGCAGACCATCGTGGAGTGACTGGGCTTCGAGGTGGAAGGGGGAAAGATAGGGATTCAAAAGGCGAAGGTGCAAGTACTAGATCGGGTGGCTACACTGAAGGACAAGAGCTCGCTGCGGGCACTGCTGGGCTTCCTGAACTACTACCAGAAGTTCGTGCCCAACTTTAGCAGCCGAGCAATGGCATTGAATCAACTGCTGAGGGAGGACCGCAAGTGGGAATGGGGGCGGAGCAAGAGAAGGAGGTGCAGGAACTCATGGGGAAGTTGTGAGAGTACGATGGCTTAAGCCAGATATGCTTGCTTGCCTAGACTTTCTCATGCTATTTCTAGCATAGGTTTATTTTATGCATGCATGAATTGCTTGATTTCCTAGGCTAGGTGCTTTCCTATATTTTATTATAGTTATAGCACCGAGCTAGGTTGCGTACATCGAAATCTGGGCTTTTCGGTTGCCACCGAATTGCCTTCTACCGAATTCGGGAAGGCTCTGTTCGGGACGCTTCGCGACCCTCGGAACCTTCGCGTAACACCTGGTTACTGGGCCTTGTGTCGAGCCTATATATAGCCTCGTGTTGTACCCAGGTGATTCATTCTGTTCAAACCCACTTTTTGAGCTCGATCCTAGATCCTCACACTTGGTAATCAGAGCCCGTTTACACGCGAAAGTTTTTTCGACCGCTAAAACCGAGTCTTCAAAAACCGCGGGGGCGACAACTACTAAACACTGATTTCGGGTACGTAAAATCGGTTCGGTGTTTTTCGCTCCCCCTCGTTTTCGGTTTTGAACGCGCAATGTCAGGCATGGAGGGACAAAGCGACAATTACGCGACGACGCACGACATCACTAGCCTTCGCTCCGACGTGGAACAGACGCAGGCCGCGATCCGGCGAATCGAAGCCCTCCTGACACACCAACCAGGAGCCGCCACCGCAGCAGTCAATGCAGCAGCGAACGTAGCAGCGACAGCAGCAGCAGCAGTGGCGACACCGACATTTCACGGACCGATGGCACCACCGTCGCCGAACCTCGAAGCAGCTCGCCCGAGGCTCCCCGAAGCGTTCGGGACCGGACGTTCGACGATTCGTGGCGACCCTCGAAATTTATTTCGAGGCCATTGGCTGTTCGACCCCGACACACGACGTAGCATGAATTCAGCTCGCAGCGACACTGTTGTGGGGACCAACACTCGAGTGGATTTATTACACTGACCTGATCCGCGGGGAGAAAACGTGGCGCAGTTTCGGGCAGACCTCATCGAATGCTTCGAGCCAATTAATACAAACAATACAGCATTGTAGCATAGTACAAGCAGCAGATTGAGCTACTGTTTAACCACATTACCGACCTGACCGAAGGCGAAAAAATCCAAGCGTATACAAAAGGGTTAATAATGGAGATTCGCCGACAAGTTATCGCAGGGAACTACAGTAGTTACCGCGACATCGTGCGTGCTGCCGAGCGATACGGCGCTTTGACTCGTGGTCAACCCGAAACACAACATTACGGGCGGAACCGTACATTTGGCACGGAGCGATCGGCACCTCCCACGTTCGCCTAACCGATGGATATCGACAAATTTGACGCGAAGCAGCAACCGACAAAATGCGAATTTTGCGGCGCAGCAGGGCATCAAATTTTGTCGTGCTACAAAATGAAGAAGGCACGTGCGGCAATGCTGGGCGGCAACAGTGGAGCACCCCCAAAGTAAAAAAATGGGAATCGCCTGTCAAACATTGTATGTTTATATTGTGTAGGCTATAGTGGGTTTAGCCTTAGAGGGTACACAAACTTAGGGTTTCATACTTGTACCCACCTTCCTGCTAGTTCATTCATTCTCGTTCTATTCTAGATTCTGACATGGTATCAGAAGCCTAGGTTGCTACCTAGGACCGCTTTCTACAATGGGCCCACTATTCCGCTAGAAGCGCCCTCGTGCGCCCTACCTTACGTGCGCCCTCGTGCGCTCTACCTTACGTGCGCCCTCGTGCGCCCTCGTGCGCCCTCGTGCGCCTTTCTCTGCTAGTGCGCCTTCGTGCGCCCTCGTGCGCCCTCGTGCGCCCTCGTGCGCCCTCGTCCGCCCTCGTGCGCCCTCGTATGCCCTCGTGCGCCCTCGTGCGCTCTCGAGCCGCCCCTGCAGGTCCGTCAGGCCCCCGAGCCGCCGCTGCAGGCCCGTCAGGCCCGAGAGCCGCCCCTGCACACCCGTCAGGCCCGCGCGCAGCCTCTGCACGACCGCGCGCCGCCCCTGCAGGCTCTCGCCGCCCGCCGCGTCGCCCTGCCCGTGGCGTCGCCGCCTCCCCGCGGCGTCGTCGCCTGCCCGCGACGTAGCCCCTGTCCGCGGCGTCGTCGCCTGCCCGCGGCGTCGTCGCCTGCCCGCGGCGTCGTCGCCTGCTCGCGGCGTCGTCGCCTGCCCGCGGCGTCGTCGCCTGCCCGCGGCGTCGTCGCCTGCCCGCGGCGTCGTCCCCTGCCCGCGGCGTCGGCGCCTGCCCGCGGCGTCGTCGCCTGTCCGTGGCGTAGTCGCCTACCCGCGGCGTCGCCACCTGCTAGCGGCGTCGCCCTACTCGCGGCGTCGCCACCTGCCCGCCGCGTCGCCCTGCCCGCGGCGTCGCCACCTGCCCGCCGCGTCGCCCTGCCCGCGGCGTCGCCACCTGCCCGCCGCGTCGCCCTTCTCGCCGCGTCGCCCTTCTCGCCGCGTCGCCCTTCTCGCCGCGTCGCCCTGACCTAATCCGCCTCTCGCCCCTGGAGCAGCCGCCACTGCAGCAGCAGCCCCTGGAGCCGCCCGCCACTGCAGCAGCAGCCCCTGGAGCCGCCCGCCACTGCAGTAGCAGCCCCTGGAGTTGCTCGCCACTGCAGCAGCCGCCCCTGGAGCCACCCGCCACTGCAGCAGCCCCCTCTGGAGCAGCACGCACCTGCAGCAGCCGCCCCTGGAGCAGCCCGCACCTGCAGCAGCTGCCGCGGAGCTCCCTGCTGCGACCCGGCTCAGCCCTGCAGTTGTAGCGGCCCCACTGTCGCCACCGTCTTGCGCCTGCCGCGCCGACCACTGG